TATATATATATATATACTTTGCTGGTTTTTGTGTTTCTCTAGAGAACCCAATCCAACACACCTAACATCACACATTTTTCTACATCTACTGATTTTACCATAAGATTTTTCTTAGCCTGTTGATATGATGAAATGCACTAATTGATTTTCAAATGTTGAGCCAGCCATGCATACCTGTGATAAATCTAAGTTTGTTGTCTTATATAATTAGTTTTATACATTTTTTGGATTCAATTTGCTAGTATTTATAGGATCTACTTTAAAGCAAAATTCATACCAAGTGGGAATAATGTGGCTGTCCTGTGGCCAGTTACTGCTGTGAACATGAGCTGTTTCCCTGCTGAAATGGACTCCAGGGTTTGGCTTGAACTCTCTCCTTCCTTTCCAGGTCTTTGATTTTCAGTTGAGTGAGGAGGAAATGGCAACCATATTCACCCTCAAGAGAAACTGAAGGCCTTACTCATTAAGGAGTAAGTATACTGGGTCACTCTAACTATGAAGAGCACTGAGATTTTCTCTAAACTGGTAGAAGGTTAGTTGCAAAGCTTGGAAGGCAGCTGGGACTATTTTGTTTTCAACTACTACCTTATGGCAGTTTGGAAAATTAAGACTGGAGTACCAGGGTAGAATCATTATGAGGAAAGACACATCCCTAACTGCTACTCAGTGTCTGAACTACTGGAACTAATGAAGGTGATACTTGTAAGGTACTCAGTGCCATACTTAGCTCCAGGCTTATAACCATTTAAGCAGGTGACATGGCATTGATTTCACTCATGGTGACCCCATGTGTCAAACTAGAGCTGTGCTCTATAGAGTTTTCAGTGGCTGTGACCTTGCCAAAGTAGATCACCAGGTGCCTCTGACTGGATTCCAACAGCCAATCTTGCCCTGCTTGTTGCCTGTCTACCTTTCCTCATAGCACACCATCAGATCAGTCTGAGGGAAGATGGAGGTATGGACACTTGTCTTAGGTTCTCTCATAATCTTGGGGGGAGGCTGAGAGAGCATGAAGACCATGGGATGCCCCAGAGAAGAGTGCATTTATAGCACTGTCGTTGCTTGTGGACCAGGCTCTTCTAAAGTTGTTCTCTCTCATTCTGTCTGCAGATTGGCCCATTTGGAAGATTACACGTTCACTGCAGAATCTTGATGGTGGACCTTCAGGTTCCTGCTGGGATTATCCAGTGGGTTCTGTGTACAAGTTCCTCATGAGCACAATTAAGTGTTTTGGAATTCCCATTCTTCTTAATGTTATTCATAATTTGGATAATAGTAGTATTAACTGGTTTTCCTTGTAGGTGTATGGATATTATTCTATCACTGACAGCATTTTACTTCAGGATAGATCTTGAAACATTCTTTGTGATGGTGAATGCTACATCATTCCTCTTCAATTTGTCATTCCTGGCATAGTAGAGCACATGGTTATCTGATTCAAAAGGGCCAAAACCAAAGAGGGGTCACTATGAGTCAGGATTGACTTGACAGCAGTGAGTTTTTACTCCAATTTTACATAAGAGGAAATGAGGCACAAGGAGGCCAACATTTTGTCAAGATCATCCAGACAGAGTGGCAGAGCCCAAAGAGTCAGCTCCTGTGTTTATAGAGCTTGTAGGAGGCACAAAGGTGCTATGGCTCAATGAAGGATTTAAAATATTATTAGTCAACATGAGGTCATACTGGAGCAGAGTGGGTCCTAATCAATATGAATAGTGTCCTTATAAAGAGGAAAAGAGATGCAGAGTTACAGAGGGAAGACAGCCAAGAGTAAGTCAATCAACAAGCCAAGAAACTTCTGGGGTTATCAGAAGCTGGGCGAGATAAGAAAAGATCTTCCCCTTGAGCCTTAGGAGAGAACACAGCCCTGCTGGCACCCTGAATTCAGACTTCCTAGCCTCCAAAGCTGTAAGATAATCAATCAATTTATGTTCTTATAAGTCACCCAGCTTGTGGTATTTTATTATAGTAGCCCTAAGAAATGAACCTATGTACCATTGTTATTATTGTTGTTAGGTGCCATCAAGTTCACTCTGGCTCACAGTGACCCCATATACAACAGAAGGAAACACTGCCTGGTTCTGCCCCATCCTCACAATCCTTGCTATGCTTGAGCCCATCATTACTGTTGTTAGCTGCTATGAAGTCGATGCTGACTCATAGTGATTCCATGTGTGTACAGAGTAGAACAGTTCCATAAAGTTTGTCTAACCCAGGCCAGACATTTTGGAAGCAGCTCACCAGGCCTGTCTTCTGAGGAGCCTTTTGGTGGGTTTGAGCCACCAACCTGTTGACTAGGAGTTGAATACTTAACTGTTTGTACCACCCAGGGTCCACACTATCAATTTTATTTATTTGTAAATTTGTCTGTTTCTACCAACTAGAATGTAAGCTCTATAAGAGCAGGGACTTTTGTCTGTTTTGTTCATTGTGTATCCTCTGGATATCAATAATATGTGTTGAATGGATGGATGAATGAAGAATGGAAGGTATTCTATTCCTATTTTACAGTTCAGTAAACCGGAAAGTAGTCTCCTAATTGTTACAACTATTGGTGTCTCCTCTGTAATCTGAAGTGATTCTAGAAGAATGCTACAACCTGTCATACATTTTAGGGATTGTACAACATCATAATGCATCATGATCAATGGATAAAAGATTGAAGTCATCAGAGATTTCATTTTACTGGGATCCACAATCAACACTCATAGAAGCAGCAGTCGAGAAATCAGACATCATATTGCACTGGGAAAATCTGCTGCAAAAGACCTCTTTAAAGTGATGAAGAGCAAAGATGTCACCTTGAGGACTAAGGTTTGTCTAACCCGGGCCATGGTATTTTCAATCACCTTATATGCATGTGAAAGCTGGACAATGAATAAGGAAGACTGGAGAAGAACTGATTCCTATGAATTGTGATGGTAGTGAAGAATATTGTATGTACCATGGACTGCTACAGGAACAAACAAATCTGTCTTGGAGGAAGTACAGTATTATACCCTTGCTCTTCCATTTGGAGTACTCCCTCGAGTTGTGCTTGCAGAGCTGGTCTGATAGTACCAAATTCCCAGAGCCTCTGCTTGTTGGGGAATGTCTTGCTTTTCCCCTCATTTTTGAATGACAACTTTGCTGGGTAAAGAATTCTTGCTTGGCAGTTGTTTTTGTTCAGTATTTTTTATATATCATTCCAATATCATCTGGCCTTTAGAATTTCTGGGGGGAAATCTTCACTGATTCTTCTGAAAGACCCTTCCTTGGTATGTTATCTTGAGTTTTTCTCTTGCTGCTTTCAGAATTCTTTCATCTTTGGTTTTCAAGAATTTTATTAGGATATGGCATGGAATTGATCTATTTGTGTCTCTTCTGGTGAGGTTTGTGTATCTTCCTGTATTTTAAGGCTTGGTTGTCTGTTCAGTCTGGGAAATTCTTTCTAACTATCTCTTAGAAAATTGTTTCTGTGCCTTTATTGTTGGTGCTTTGGGAATCCAATAATTCTAATGTTAGATTTCTTAGTTGAATCCTCTATTTCTTTTTGGATTTGTTTGCTTCCCTTTGTTCTTTTCTCTCATTTCTCTTGCTAAATGGTAAGTGTAGTTGTTCTGTCTTCTAGTTCATTTATCTTATCTTCTGTCTGTTCAATTCTATTGTTGCGTGTTTCACTTGCCTTTTCTAATTCAGTTGCTTTATCCTTCAATTCCATTATTTCCCTCCCTCTCACTCTCTCTTTTTATATTTTCAGTTTCCTTGCTGAGTCTTTAATTTTGTTCCTCCATTTGTTTCCTAATCTCCACTAGTTTGTTGTTTTTTTGTTTTCTTTTGTGCTTTCTTTAAACATATTTAGCACCCTAGTCTGAAAATTATCAGTCCTTTGCATTAATCTGGTCTTCATAGGAGAAAAGTTCTCAACAAGATTCAACAGCACTCTCTTGTAGTGCCATGGTTTCCCTTCACCCCCTCCTAATTGTGTGACCTGTAATCTCCCATGCCTAATTTGCACTGCCTTAAAATAATCAGGCTACAGCTTTCTCAAATTAGCTCCCTTTCTGTCTTGCCCGTTTGGGGTGTTTCCCAACCCTGTCTAAAAGTGGCTGCAATAAGCGCATCCCTGATATTACTGGGTAGGTTCCCCAGCTTCTGTTCCCTCCCTGTTCCTCCTCTCCTCCGCCTCTGGATCCACTTCAACTCTCAGCACCTCAACTGCCTTCTAGATTCTGAGATATCAATCTATGCATGTTTTTATTCTTTATTCAGTGGGTTAGTTGCTGGGAGAGTAAATGGGAACGTCCACTCGCTGTGCTATCTTGCTCTGCCCTCCTGATTCCAACACTTCAAGGGTATAGCTTTCTGCCTTTCAATTTTGCTTTATTTATTTATAAACAAACAGTTAACATTCTAAAGCAGAAAACCTGCTATGATTGTTGTGTTCTGATGTTTTGTAACTCAATTCAGTTCTATCTATAAGCTGAATACCAAGCACCCTGGACAAGTATTCGAATACTTGCTTCATCATAATTATCATCCATTATATGCTTTTGAGTTGTGCTGTGGGCAAAGAATGCTGAAAGTACCATGGACTGTCAGATGAACTAACAAATCCATTCTGGAAGAAGTGCAGCTGGAATGCTCCTTGGAAGTGAGAATGGCCAGACTTTGTCTCACCTACTTTGGTCATGTCAGAAGAGACCATTCCCTGGAGAAGGATATCATGCTTGGTAAAGTGGAGGGTCAGTGAAAAAAGGGAAGGCCCTCAACAAAATGGATTGACCCAGTGGCTGCAACAATAGCCTCAGGTATAGCAAGGATTGTGAGGCTGATGTAGGACCAGGCAGTGTTTCATTCTGTTGTATACAGGGTCACTGTGAGTCACAGCCAACTCAACAGCACCTAACAACAACAACATATATGAACCAGATACAAGCAGCCCAGTCATAGTTGCAAGCTCTGCTTGCTCAAATACTCCTCACTGGAACATGGCTCTGCTTCTGTGGAGGAGACAAGGTGGCAGGCAGCTAAAGTAGCCCCTGAGTTCATATGCCACTATGGGCTTGGGCTGCAGTAGAAAGGATGTAGTTGACTTAGGTAGGAGTTCTGCAAACTAGCCAGTCTACAACCATGGAGTATAAATGTTAGTGCCTTGATAGAGCTTAAACTAGATCTTCAGCATCACAGTTTGGCTAGTACTCCAATACCTCTTTGTTGTTAGTTGCTCGTGTGTACAGAGTAAAACTATTCTATAGGGTTTTCAAGGCTGAGAAGCAGATTACCAGGCCTGTCTTTTAAAGAGCCTTTGGGTGTGTTTAAATCATCAACCTTTTGGCCAGGAGTTGAGCATTTAATTGTGCTATGCAACTTACTGCAGTTGAGTCAATTCTGACTCATAGTGATCCTATAGGACACAGCAGAACTGCCCCTATAGGGTTTCCAAGGCTGTAATCTTTTGGAACCTGACTG